TACTTGTTTCCTTTTATCCTCTTACTATTTTGAAAGTTATGCTACACCGTATCATTCCCCCCATGCTTTCCTTTCAATTTCTGATACCCATAACCAAATGTACATTTCTCCACTATTATAAAAAATGGTGCTAACTATATTGTTCCTGCAAGGCATTCCCATTTCTCCCATGCACCCTCTACACCAATAAGATGAGATCTTTAGAATACTTTCACTTCCTTCATCTCCTCCCACCCCCTTGACTTTTAGGTAATTCTGAGGTAGTGCTTTTAATTCTAGACTGTTACTAAGTTTCTTTTGCAGTATCCCTACAACTTCAGAAATCCATGTTTAGTACATGAATATAATTCCCTAGTTTATTCAGTCATTATCCATTTAGATTTAGCTATATATATTTTTATAAATGAATATATGTGTGCGTGTTTGTGTATTTCACTACTGTTTCCTCTCCTACATCTTCTCTTATCTGAGGTCTCTGGCCTGATTCATTTTTTCATTTACAGTCATGTTTCCAGAACATTACTTGGTGATTTGTTATCTGAATCTTTTCGTTTTCACCAATATCATTCCTCCATCCTGATTGGTGAATGGTGTCTGACTGGGTATAGGATTTGGGAGTTGCATGCCTTTTCTCTTATAAATATGTTGATGTTAATTTACTGTTCTCTGGTTTTTGGTATTGTAAGTAAGAAGTCCAAAGCTAGTACAAGGGTACTTCAAAAAGTTCGTGGAAAAATAGAATTAAAAGATAATACACATCTTTCTGTGAACTTTTTGAAGTACCTCATATTATTTTTCCTTTGTGAGAAACCCAGCCTTTCTGTCTGGCACCTTGTAAGATTTTGTCTTTATTCTTGAAATTACAAAATTTTGCCAGGATCTTAGGTTTATGTTTTTTCATCAGTCTTACCTGAAAACTCGATAAACCTCTTCAATCGCCAAGCCCAACTCTTTCCAAATAAATGAAATTTTCCTCTTTTCCACCTGTATCTGTTCCTTTTTCTCCTTATGGAATTCCTATTTGTAATATGTCAGTCTCTTGCTCTGTCCTCTAAGTTTCTTATTATTTTATGCATGACTTTCATCTTTTTATATTTTTATACAGTCCTTAGAAATATTTCTACTACTTGATCTTCCAGATTGCGTTTTCAACAGGGTCTATACTCACCTTCATCTACTAAATTTGAAAATTTGAAAATCATGGTTTTTTGTTCTAGGATACCCTTTTAATATTGTAACTGAATCTTCGTTAGTGCTTTAATTGTTATTGTTGTTGTTAAAATTATCTATTCCCCCAGCAGTTTTATTTCACTAGGAGCTGTCCTAAATACTGTGCTTGTTCTTCCACCCACCAGTTACTGGCTTCTTAGATTGCTGGTATATTCCTTTGCCTACTGAGAGTTCTATTCACCCTCAGGGCTCAGGAAGCTGCCCTGCTACTTTTGGACCTAATGGGAATGGAGTTGTAGTGGAAAAGAGGATCATAAGTGGTAAAAGGCAAGGAATCTCAACTCCTGAATTGGCGAAGCACCAGTGACAAGCTACCAGTTTTTTTGAAGTACAAAACAAACAAAAAAGGCCTCTGTGCTTCCTGGACTGTTTAGTTGTAAAGGCTGGGCTTTCCCAGCCTTTATGGATAGGGCAGACTTAGTATTTTTTAAGTAGACTTCTGGGTCAACTTAAAAATGATACTTTTGTGCTTGAGCTGTATTCTAATCAGCCCAAAGTGTTAAGAACAAGTGAATATTAGAGATGGAAAGAACCTGGTCCAAATGTCCTTGTTTTACAGATAAGGAGAATGAGACCCAACAAAATGATGTTAGTTTTTCAGGGTCATCTAGGTAATTAGCAATAGAAATAAAACTGGACTGTAGGCTTTGTGACACTCAGGCCTTCAATTAACAACTCTGTCTTCTGTTGCCTAGTACTTACATTCGTAGCATTTATTACTAAAGCAACTATCTTGTAGAATGCTTACATTTAATATTGGTCCTCTTAAGGGAACATTGGATACATACTTAACTACTCAAGTGAATATAATTAAAAAGTGTTAGTAAATCAAAATTAATGATAATATTAGAATTATCTTTAAAGAAAGGGTTAATTACTATCCCAATTTAATTAAAACTCCAGTTGTTAATGGAGGAAGATATAAATGATTTCACAATATCCCTTTCGCATCTGTTGCTCTTTGAGAAAAGGGAAACTACTGGTATATACCTAGAAAACTTAATCTGCTTAACCCAACAGCCCTTCTAGTGGCAATTGTGAGAAAACATTTCAAATTTTAAAAGAAAAGATTTTTCTATCATCGGTATTTGGCATACACAAATAAGATTTATATGTTTAGATAAATAATGATAAGCTTTTATTTGAAGGTGTATTATGTATAACAAAGTGTCTTTCACAGTGCAAATATTACTGTAGTTTAGAAGAACAGTAGGAAAAAACACAGGGTAACCTTGAACCTGTCACTACCCCTGTGTGAACCTCAGTGTCCTTTCTTATACTGCGTACCTCACAGAGTTGTGAGATTAACATATAGGTATGAAAATGTATTGTTCATTTAAGACATGAGTATTATTGTCATTAATTTTATTTCTTAAATATCAATTGATCTTATATTTAGGAAGGTATGTTTTAAATATAAGGTCAGATTATAATGTTTTGCAGTTTTACTCTCCTATCCTTAAGAAAGTTAATATACTGTGCTCTCTTTATTTAACAAAACTGAGAAAATCATGAACTGTTTTCTTTCTCCTGTAATATCCGTGATTATAATCCTTGTTACCTATTTCCTCTGGTTATTATTCAGAGTAATCTCTTAGTCTTAGAAAGCAAACTCAGCTTTTTTCTTTTTTTTTTGTACCCAGGATGGGACCTGAACCTAACTCAGTTTTTATTTGTTTAAAGTAAAAAAGTCCAAAGGAGAGAATAGGAATTAAATGTGGGAAAATGTTAGCATTTGTCAAATCTGAGAGTTGGATACATGGGAGTTGGTTATGCTGTTATCTTATGTTGGAAATGTTTTATGATCAAAATATAATATAAATCATAAAAAGAAAGCGAATTTATGTCATGTGAGCAAGCCCTTAAGTTATGTTTAACCATCTTAGTTCCATCTGAATATAGGATTCTGAATCATGTTTGTTTTATTCCCCAGAACTATACTAACATGTCCACACATGCAGTCTTCTTGCTGGTCATCCCAGACAAATTCCTACCTGTTGCCTCAGCATCCTATATTTTTAATGCTTTGGGTCAAGAGTCCATTCTCATGAGAATCTTTCTTCCATGATATCATATGCCTGAAAAAAAAATACACAATCATTTTTGATTCAGCGGGCAGTGGAACAGTTACTGAGGAGCCAGAGTTTGTAGTCCCTGCTCTGCCACTTAGTACTCAATCTAGACTTGAATATGCTACTTTGCCTCTCTGGATATCACTTACCTTTTCTTGAAATGAGAAAAATAATAGTCTATCTCACAGATTTATTGTGAGATAATAAATGTAGTTATAGCATGAAACATAAATGAGAGATCATTTGATTTCAAGTTAACAAAAGCCTACTGAAGCTAGCTTAAGCAAAGGAGGGATTTGGGGGAGGATATAGGGTTATCTCATAGAACCTAAGAGCAGGAATAGAGTTGGGCCTCTAGAGGGACTAAAGAGCAGGAAATCAAAAATCAGAGGCCAGGATTACTCCCTTTTTAGTTGTCCGAGTTAGATGTCCATGGGCGAGGAAGGGAAAAGGAGAGTCAGGTAGTATAAAGGGAAATGTGCACCTCCTCCATAGGTAAGAAGTTCTCAGAAAACAAGGGTATGGGCTGGACATATACTCCTCAGAAGGCACCTTTTCTGTACTCCATCAGTTGAAGGAAAATGCCAAGTGCAGGTCACATTCCCAGTAGCTTTGTATAGATTTAAAGCAGTGACTAAACAATCCCTTTCAGCTATTTATTGCCATCCTGTCCCTCCATAAGCCCTGATGATTGACATTTTTTTATTTTCACTGATCAATCTCAAGTTAGGCCTTTGCAACTCTTCTGACATTCAGAGGATAAGACCTTTTATTTCTTTCTGTCCCTTCTCCCCAGGCCTTTGACCTGCGCCATCATAGGGCCTGGTGGTGCACTTGCCTTTCAGTTGACAGTCAGGAGCCTACCTAGTTTCTACCACTAGTATTCATCTTGTGCTTTTACCCTCTCAGGATATTTAATATGGTCTCTGCTTTCCTTGTCCTTCTTTCTCTACCGTTTCTTTTCCCAATAATCGCCTACTGGCTCTTCATATTTATAGGGACTCCCCCCCCCCCGTCAATTTTCTATTAAGTGAACTCCAAATTCTTGAGCTTGAAGACCCTCCAAGATCAAGTCCCATCCTACCTAGCCCAGTTGCTCTCAGTCAAGTCCTTTACTCTAGCCAGGCCACTTTCCACACTAATCTAGAAACAACACATGCTAATCACTATCCCAAGCCTTTGCTGGTACTGTAGATCCTCTTGCTTACAAAGCCCTTCCCTATTCCTTTTCACCTGTCAAAATCCAGCCCTTTTCTCAGGGACTCACTTAAGTCATTCCCTCTAAAGAGTCCTATATGACCTTTCCATCACCTAGGGTGACCAACTGTCCTGGTTTGCCTGGGATTTCCAAGGACATGTGATTTTCCATACTAAAACCAGGATATTCCTAGGCAAACCAGCATGACTAGACATCCTACGACACCTCACTGTCCCCCCTCATTATACTGCCTTGTTAGAGCAAAAAGCCCTGTGAAAACACCAGTAGCCACTACTTCACCATTTACAAGGTCTTTTCTGCACAATAAGAGTTATGCTTCTGTTGGGCAGAGATATTTTTGATTCCTACCTCATACAGAGTATAGTGCTGTACTCATGTTAATGCCTGTTCAGTGAATAAAGTAGTTTAGTTTTAAGATGGCACTATATCTAAAGTCTTTCCCCTATGTATTAATTTATTTGTCTTTGTTTTTTTTCCAGCCCAGATGACTTGCTCAATGCCTTGAATGAGGGTATCAGTCGTGCTGATGTCATCATCACATCAGGGGGTGTATCCATGGGGGAGAAGGTATGAAAAATTGGGCTCATGAAAATTTATCTGCTGTAATGTCCTTGCATATGGTCAATTAACCACGGTCTGGTAGTCATCTGGTATTTATAACCAGTCCCCTACAAAGCTGAAAATCCATGGGGCTTCAGAAAGTACTGATCTCTCTAAAAGGGACACAGTGTGGGTAGGTCAGGGAGCTTACCTCAGGAGCAGCCCAAAAAATCCCACAATTTGCTGAATAGTTTTTGCTGTTCCCCTGGAGACTTCTGGTTTGTTTCTGCCTCAATTTTACTACATTAGGACTTCCTTTATACATGATATTTACACCCAAAGTAAAGCTCCAAAATCCTTCCTTCTACTTAAATTTAAACATGACCTCCCAGAGTCCACCAGCTCACCCACCACATATTCTAAACCTTACCAAGAACCCTTATGGGGCCGGCCCGTGGCTCACTCGGTAGAGTGCGGTGCTGATAACACTAAGGCCACGGGTTCGGATCCCATATAGGGATGGCCGGTTAGCTCACTGGGTGAGCGTGGTGCTGACAACACCAAGTCAAGGGTTAAGATCCCCTTACCGGTCATCTTTAAAAAAAAAAAAAAAAGAACCCTTAGCTCCCCCTTCCCATAAGGAAGAAAGAAAGGATTAGGCATTTCTTTTGTCCCTCTTCACAAAAATAATAATAATAATGAAAAAAATTATATACACACAAGGGTACTTCAAAAAGTTCATGGAAAAATATGGGCCGGCCCGGTGGCACACTGGAGAGTGCGCCACTTGGGAGCACGGCGGCACTCCCGCCGAGGGTTCGGATCCCATGTGGAGACCAGTTCCCACTCACTGGCTGAGCGCGGTGCGGGCGCAACACCGAGGGTTGCGATCCCGTTGCCAGTCCCCGGTATGGGCGCGACACAGAGGGTTGCGATCCCATTACTGGTCAGTAAAAAAGACAAAAAGGAAAAAAAAAAAAGAAAGAAAAATAGAATTAACAGATAATATGAATCTTTCCATGAATTTTTTGAAGTATGTATGATTTTATAGGACTAAGTATATTTGCACATAGTGTATTCTTAGTTCTGTAAAAATCTCAATCTGAATATCTTGGTATCATTAAGTTTAGTAATGAAATGTGTTAGTTCATGATGATTATTGGGTTCATTGAATAATGTTATGGAAGCAAAATATTGTTTGCTGGGCCGGCCCGGTGGCACACTGGAGAGTGTGCCGCTTGGGAGCGCGGCGGCGCTCCCGCCG